GACAACCACATAGAAGAAACATTAATGGAAAGTACTTAAAGAGATATCATCCAACTATGTGGGAAAATCTTAAAAGAAACTAGTAGGCTAAGCATGGAAATTCATTGAGATTTCAAAATAAATACAAAGGACAAAGCATGTTTAATTTTCAAAGAATATCTACAAAACAAAACAAAATGTGTCTAGTCTCTCAAGAAAATAATTGCAAGAGTGCTCCAACGTGATTGAGTGGTTGCAAGTATGGCTTGGGGTTGATCAAGTTCTTCCTTGGTAGCTTAAATAGATGATGAACCACTCATTATCTCACTAAGTTATTCCTTTTGTTTTTGGAGCTCAAGCCTTTTATGCTTGATAAGGGCTAGTTCTACTTCAAGTTTGGCTTCTTCAAGTGCCAATGCCTTGTCTTGATCAGCTAAAGTAAAGGAGTTTTAACAGGTGATCATTAAGGAGTTGGAGATAGTTTGAGCAATGTTCAGAAAATCTTTCTTGGCTTGAATCTTCTCTCTACAACTTTGAGCAATTTCCAAAAGAATTGGCCATTCAGTAATGATTTTAGCCAGATGTGTGAGTTGATTCTGACTGAAAAGGTTAGGAGATAGGTTTTGGATGGCAGTCAGGCAATCCAAAGTTTCCATGGGTTACTTTAAAACTATTTCCTCAAAACGGGTGTTGATAAAGCCTAGGAAGGAGGTTAGGATTTGTTGATCCTCAAAATTAAAATACCGAGACGAAACCTTTATGGGAGTTGAGATATGTGCTCAAGGCTTTTCTAAAATGCTGCAATCTCATCCCATATGCTCAAAGTTGTTCCAGTGGAAGTCAAAACTTGTCAACAGTCAGAAGTAAGTGAGAATTGATAAGTTTTAACTAAAAGAATTATGATGAAAAGTTATTACATGTACATCAGTGGGTGTTGAGGTGATTGTGGTGATAATTGGAGTTGATGTTTTTCCAATTGTAGTCTTTTCAATTTGAAAGTCATGGGATTTTTCAATACTGACTGGGAGGTTCCTTGAAGTCTGAGCAAAAGGCTCACTAATATTCTCAATGTTATCATTCACTAGTAGAATTTCCTTTATGTGTCTAACTTCAGGAGTTTGGTTGCTTTCAGATCCAACTTCTGTGAGGTTTGGATCATTAGTTGGTATGTCTTCAGCAAGGTTTTCTATCCCTGTGAAGATAAATAGGGGGTTAGTAGGGCTGATTAAAAGGTAAAAACAATAAGAGTTGAAAGTTTGCTCACCATGAGTATCTTATAGATCAGGTTGATGAGGCTTAGTGGATTGGTCATTAAATGATGAATGAGGACTGTTTGGAGCCTCCCTTTCATGAAAGAGCTCACCAATGGGAGATGATTGACCATTTTGAGATGAGTCAATATCAATCCTTTCTTCTTGTATAATGGAAGGTTATTCAATTGGAGAGCTTGTAAACTTAGATACAGATAGATGACCTTAGGAGATAACTGATGGAAAGTTGATAGGTTCAATTGCTCTTGGATAAAGAACCTTCATTGGAAAGTCTCCAAGGGTCACATCCATAAGGCTGATGTTGGGAGTAGATTGGGTTAGAATTGGATTGCTTGGCTCATTCTCAAAGGAATGAGGGTGTTGTGCGTTTTGAAAGAATCTGAGAAGCTTCCTTAGGAGAGGAACTAGGGCTCCCTTTATCTGCAACATTAGTTAAGATAAGAACTCTTCTCTTTTTTCTCTGAAAAAGAGACAAGATTTGAAATGAGCTATTTGATGATTTTAAAAAAGATGTGTGAGCATAAGGATGAGGAGTTATACCTGGTATGTTTGGTTTAAAGGATTATGGATTGTTTATCCAATCACTTGATTAAGTGGAATGTCCTACTTACTGAATGTGGGATTGAAGTTTTCTTGAGGCAAAGTTGTAGTTGGAGGCTCTTGCCTTTTCTTTGACCTCACTTCCCTTGAGGATGGTTGAGTTGCCTTTGTCTTCCTTTGTTCTTGTGCTTGGAGAGCTGTAATTGTGTCTCTAATGAGTTTAAGCATAGGTGGAGAGGAATTTGGGTTGACATTTGGATCCATTGGTGTTTTGCCTTTGCTTTTATCTCTAATTGGGACTTTAATGGCAGGAGGTGGCATCATGGGAGTGGATTTGACTACAAGAGTCAGAAAAACTTAGAATAAGAGAGAATTAATTTAAAGAATGGAAATAAGTTGATTATTTACAAACTAAAGTGGATTTACCTATAGTTTTGAGGCTTGAGATTGGTGGCTCATAGCCTTGGTTATCGATAGACACTTCATTGAGACAAACCTCAAGGGGTTTGTAAAAGATCACTGTAGCCATGAAGGTCCACCAATGTTCAAATACTTTGGTGAGGTCAGAGACAGGCTTGAAAAAGTAAGTGTTGAAGTTATTGAGAAAAGTTTCTTTCTCTGTTCTGATCAGCTTTGTTTGAGAAGAGTCTTTGATACTGAGCCTTTTCCCTACTTCTTCATAGATGAAGGATGAAAATAGGGATAAGGTGTGCACTGCTTGAAACCAAATTGTCTTGCCCACTGGTTGGGGCAATAATTTTCAAAACTACAACTCCAGGGAGATGTGTTCTAGTCTAGATGAAGAGAATCGACAGTCATGGAATGGCTTGAAAAATAGAGGGTTTCTACTAAATGTAAGGTTGAAGAATATTGTGGGATAGTGAGAAAAACCAAGGTTATGTTTCCCAACAAAAGTTAGAAAATATTCTGCATAAGAATGATGATTTGGGACCATGCTATTTGGCTTTAAAGGTTGTACTTCAAGGAAGTAGGCATATACCCAAGCTTGGAAAAGCCAGAAGGATCCACCATAGTTTGAGGATATCTTTTTATCAACAAAAGAAAACATGCCCTTATAAAGTGTGGCAAGTAGGGGGCAAGAGCCATGGCTTGACCATCTTGAAGGCATAAAGCCAATGGGAGGTATTCTTTGGTAATTTTGAAGCCAGGGATACAGAAAATGAATTGGTGTCATCGACAAGGGTGTTTCTCTTGCCTTTGTATTTTTTGATAAAGTTAGTGTAACTCATGTCAGTATTGAGAGTGAAAGTCACTGGTGGAGTTTCTAGTAAAGTACTGATTTCTAAACCTATGATAGGGAGTCTAGTTAAATGGGCTACATCTAGAATGGTTGGAGATATCATGCCAAATCTTAGGAGCATTAAGTTACAAGATTGTGACAAAAAACAAGCATCAACAGCAATTAACCACTTGTTCATATCAAATTTGAGGGCCAACCTCACTAATGCCTAAATGCTTCCACACATTTGAGTCATAAGCTTCAATTTATTTGACCCAGCTTTACCAGGTAGAATCTGGTTGCCTCCATGATCAGAGAGGGTTTTTGTTGTTCCCCAATTTACATTGGTTGAGAAGTAGGGTTTCGTCATTAGCAAGTGGGTAATATGGAGCTAACTCATATGGAAAATAGGTCGTAACGGTAGATCCTAGGGTTGCATTGGTTACGATGGTGGGACTTGGAATCAAGATTAGGTCCAACTTCAGAGAACTGGTGAGTTCTCTAATGGTTTTGGGGAATCAAAGGTGTTCATCACTAGTTTCATCTTCATTCTTAGATTTTGACTTCTTGAGAGCCATGGTTCAGAGTTCTGAGTTGCTTGGTGTTCTAGCATGGGAGTTTCCAAAGAGAGATGGAAGAAATTGAAATGGAATGAAGATGAAAGGTTTGAGCTTTTATAGCTTATGTTGGGCCCAGTGTTTGGATTTGTTTGAATTAAATATGTCATTTATTTGGGTCCAATGAATGGATTTTTTTAAGTTAGAATTATTATTATTTATTTAACTTAAACAATGGATTTTTGTTTGCACCTTTTTTGTAAAGTTTTTGTCGACAGGTGGATCGATCAAATGGTGACATATGGAAAAGTCAAAGTGCAAGTCTTCCATTATTCAAAGGGAGAAATGGCATGAAAAAGTTGATTGTGTGCATAAAGTGGTAGAAGCAACCTTGGAGCAATTACCAGCTAGTTTGTGGCTTAGTAGGCTAGTTGCAGGATATGGTGCTTGCAGGTTGAAGTTCATTCTCTGTCGATGTGCTGTTCAAAGTAATGAGGGACACATGGTAGCATGGGGAAGAGTTGGTTCGATAGGAAAAGTTGAGGATGTGGCAAAGTTTGAAGGTTTGAAGGCGTGGCAATTAAAAAATTGCAATTGCAAGTTTGAAGGAGTCATGCGATCATAGGCCAAGAAAATAGGTAAAAGATACAAAAGGCTAGAAGTTTGCAAGGAGTGAGGATCGACAATACAACAATTTAGTCTTCTATCTTAGGAATAGTTTCTCTTTAACTTAAAGAGTAGTTTTCTGTGTAATTTGTAACTTTTATAAAATGTTGGTGGTTTCATCTTGAAATCATCTCTGATTTACTTTGCTTCCTTTGTTTGATCTTGTTAATTATAACTTTTGTTTCAAAAAAATCCTTATACTTTCAAGACATTTGAATCAAAAAACACAATCGCTTGATCTTTCTATTTGATTGGTTGTTTAGTTAGTGCTTAGCTTCTGTCGATTGGGAGTTAGCATAATTTTTACTAGCAATGAACAAAAATTTTAGTGTCAATATGCCGGCACTTTTTTTTTAGACTGAGTAAAAAAATAATAATAGGGGAGGCGATCAACACGTAACAAAGCTCCTGAAAGTATCCTTTGGAGAGTAGGATAGGAAATAGGAAATAATGGACAGATCTGACGACACACAGAGGCAACAAGGAAAAGCGACCCTAATCAAGTGGAACATTCAGGAAGAAGAGTTTATTATGAGAGGGAAAAATCATCAACGTTTTTGGTATATCGAAGGAAACAGAAAATCAAAGCTATCATCATTTTTTGGTATATTGCAGGGGAGGGAAAATCAAACTCATGGCTTTCTAATGAGATACACGAATCTAACCACCAAGCTAGCAAGTGGAACAAGTTCAAAAAAACTATCGATTACTAGCATATATTTGCATTAAATTAATCTCAAACTATAATTAAATAATTAGACATGATGCATAAAATTAACGCTTATACATCTTCTACATATATATGGTACAAATCTGACCCCATAGAATAAAACTGATTACATAAATCCTATTTGTACTTCGTTAGCAGTTTCAAACACCAAAAACCAAAACTGCAAATTCAAACAGACAGACACTCCGAAACACGGGTTTGCTATCAAAACATACTTCAAAGAGAGTAATTTAAGGAGTTTTCAGACAATATAGCAGGACAGAAGACATAGTTATCGTCATCGTGCTCTAAAAAGCTCATGTCATTGTTACCCGGGAAATCCAAGAGCAGCTGCAATGCAGTGTCAGATGAATCCTCCAATGAATTGGAGCTCGATGAATCTGAACCGTCAATCACATCATCAGTGCACAATTTATTGCCCTTGCATTCCGTATCTTCATAAGAACCGATTAGAGGAACGCCCATCTCTGTCGTGGTGCCTGAAACTGACCCACACTTCGCTGACGAAGATGCTAGAGAAACTGGGCTTTGACAAGCGCTATTTTTGTTCCCCTTGTGGATGTTTCGAAATGATTCACCTATTTCAGAGTTCCACATACGTAAGAAATAGTCAGAACTTGTTCTCCCGAAACTTGTTGGATTGAAGAGCGATGACTCCTTTGAAAGTCGTGCTTCAGCTTCAAGCCTCGCACTCTCCCATTGTGCCATGTGGCGGGTGGATGGGGACGAGGGTGGTTTCCTGTTTGGGATGTTTAAGGTAGAGGAGGGTTCGTGTGTTTGCGGGTCGATGCCCATACTGAGTAGGCGTTTCTTTAAGTGAGTGTTCCATAAGTTCTTGATCTCATTGTCTGTCCTACCAGGCAGTTGTGAGGCAATTGCAGCCCACCTGGACATAGTTCAATACATATTTAAACAAGGGAACTTGAGAATAAATGTGTACATACAAAAAAACAAAAACAAAAACAAAAAACGAAACAAATAAATATAGAAAAAAAATTCAATCAAATTTCTCTCTCTTCCAGTGGTTTTGGCCTTTAGGGCTCTTTTTGAATCATTGATAAGTTCACAGATATGATACACATGTAAATCAATACATATACATATTGTAACAAAGATATGTATATACACAGATTTATTGAAGTAACATATTGGAAAAAGAGCTATGTTAGCAACGGACATGTGACACTCCACGGCCAGACACTCCACCAAAACACGGTAGAAAAGACCAACGAATTCAACAATATTTCCTTTTTTAATTCAAAAGTTTCTATGCAATTAACTGCTGTGAAAGATAAAAGAACAGTTTGCCCAGAAAGTGGTGCTGTCTCATGCTTAATTTTTCAATGGTAAAAGCTATAAGAAGCACAGACACTTCCAAAAAGATAGCATATTGTGTCAAACATTTGTCCATGCCAACTATATTTATTTATTATAAATATACAATATTATATATTTTTCACATGTCCCCCATGTTATGCGTCCTATATTTTCCGATGTTGGCTTGTCCGTATTGTGTCACGTGTCTATACTTTCTTAAGATGGAAGTTACAATATGAAAGGCCTAACAATTGCAGCATAGGGGATCCCTTCTGATGTATAGTGACGTGAATGTTTCCTGAGATGATCAGAACGAAGTGATGTTGATGTAATTAAAGATTAACTAAATTAAACTTCACCAGATTATTCAATAGCGGTTGTAAACCTATTATAGATTTTGAAACCATCAATAAAATAGTCCTTGGCATACTGTTTTTGTGTTCTTTTTTTTTTTCCTCTGCTTTCTTTACTGATAGGAATGTTGTTCATATAAGAATCAGCCACAGAGTAGAACAGAAAATACCTGTTACCAAGAATGCCATGCAACTGTATGACAAGCTTTTCTTCTTCAGGACTGAAGGGACCGCGTTTGATATCTGGCCGAAGATAGTTAGTCCACCGAAGGCGGCAACTCTTTCCACAGCGAAGAAGACCTGTTAGAAAAAAATCCCATAATCCATAAGGCATCAGTTAATACTACTACTTCTTCTCTTGTTCAATTTTTGAGCACCCAATTGTTATGTTCCTTAGATTAAGGAAAACGCTTTCAATAGAGAGACGACTTAATGAGACAATCAATACCATTAAAATTTAAAATAGATCCATGTAATGTATCTTCATAAAATAAAGCCATTCTCAATCTAAACAAGGTTTGTTATGCTCATATTTTTGTGAGTTGACTAAAAGGATGCGAATGCTTCATTTACCACCTGGTTTTTTTTTTCTTTTTTTTGGGGGCTGAACCATTTACCACCTAATCACTCAAGAATGTGTTGGGACAATATGCATATCAAATGTGTAAGTGCATCTCTATTTCCTACTTTACCGGTCACTAGTCAAATTTTGATTATTCAAGCAAGGGGCATTGTCAAACATGTCAACATAGACAAGATAAAAAAGGACGACCTGGTGTATGAGGCTGTCGCTGAAGCGTAGTAGTTGTTCACTAATTTTTGCCCTTTTACAGGACGAATATGAGCCACTCCCACCCCATATCCCCAACACCGGTACAAGTTAATATAATTACATATGTTGAAAAATCAATTATGCATAAGCACATATGTTTGCTTACCAAAATGTAGTTTAAGTAAGTTTTGAAACCCATATCGATTATATACGAAAGTTATGAGGCTTTCAACCAACTATAAAAAATAAATTTTATGGCTTGGCTAATATTTGTGCAAACCATGGGCATACCTTGTGGGCATAATGACTCAAATTGAAATCTTTAAATAATTTTTTTTTTTTTTTTTTTTACCAAGACTTGAAATATTCTATGCCCCCATTGGGGATAGGATAAGTAAAAATTTGTCCCGCATTATTGCCAATCCTATTAATTATTGAAATTTAGGTCTCATTCAAAATATCCATCATATATAATCAATCACTTTTTCTTTTATCTGAGTCTATCCAACTAAAAAAAGTATCAATTTGGCAAATGAGGGCTTAGTTAAAACAATCAGAGCCAATATAACAACTGCAAAAACTAGGAAACCCATGGACTTGAACCAGTACCTGAAAAGTCAGTGTCTTCTCCTCTATTCCTTCATTGAAATCCATTTCAAAATATATACATGACTGAGTTACTTAATAACAAGAGTTTACTTCCCTAGCTTACTTCCCTAGCTCAAGGGATTGTACCTTTAGGTTATGTTTGTTTGGGTGGACATGAGTTTGGGATTGGACTAATAATTCAATAAAATTATTAATCCAATGTTTGGTTAAACAATTGAAGTACGGACTAATTATTTTAAACTTGACTATTAGTTAAGATAGGATACATAATCCAACGAATTCGTAGTCCTAGGACTATTAGTCATGGGAATGCTAATCCAGTCCGCCCAAACAAACATGGCCTTAGGGTGTGTGTTTATTTAGACAGACCGGATAAGGACGGATTGAAATTCACTGGGCTATTAGACCTAGATACATTGTCCTCGAACTATTGGTTGAATTGGATTTGTATCCCATATTTGTTTAGTCATGGGATTAGATGTTAGGAAACGACTAATTGGTTGGATAAGATATGAATCATATGTTTACTTGAGATATTATGGAGAATGATAAATGTTTAAATAACTATTTTATCCTTTTCAATTATTTATTAAGTAATAACAATATTAAACATATCTTTAATATTTTAATTATTTTTAACTAGATTAAATAAAAATTTATTTTATTTTATTTTTTACACAATTAAATAAATTTATTTTTTTAAATAAATAAATAAAATATCAATAAAAATATATGTTTTTTTTAATTAAAATTTTAAATAAACTTATTTTTAAAAATAATAATAATTAAATAATGAAATTAAATAAAAAAATCTATTAAAATTTAAATAATGAAATTAAATAAAATATAATTTTAAAATAAAAAATCTATAAAAAATTAAATAAATAAAACATCAATAAAAATTAAATAAAATTATTTCATTTTTAAATTAAGACATTTAAATTTTATTAAATATAATACATAATTAAATAGTAGAGGGTCAAAATAATCATTTCACTACCTAATCTCATATCCCCATTATCCCTTCATTTGTGTCCTATCCCCCCATGGGACACAATAGTCTAATGGATTTAGGACTAACAGTCTGAAGGGACTAATAATCCGGTGCAAAAATTTTGAACCAAACATGGACTAATAGTCCAATCCTATGGAATAATCCCTCAAAACAAACACACTCTTAGGCCATGTTTGATTCACAAGACTAATAGTAAGGTATTAATAATCCTATCAAATTAGTGTAGTATTCACTATCCAATTAGATTAATAGGATAAATTATCCATTAAATTAATAATCTCACCACTACCTCATTACCAATAATCCTATAAATTTGTTGGATTAATTATCCATTGAATTAATAATCCTAAACCAAATGTTAAAACAAGCATAAGATAATTGGATTCACAGATTAATAATTTAAATTTCATGTTCTAATCCATCCAATTAAACATGCCCTTAGATTTCTAGAGAGAGATTTGGGAATCAGATTTCTAGACAGAGAAGTGATTATTTGGTGATTTTGGAGCACACCATTCTACACATGACACTTGTCATGTATCTCAAAATTCCAATAAAAAACACTAGGTTAAAACTCTGGTCGATTGGCAAAAGTTTTTTTTGGTTTTTTTGGGCTAAAATTTGTAAAATGACAACATAGATTAAAATAGTCAATAAAATAAAATGTCACATCAAATTCATAATTATTTTACTTTTTCTCTCACAAACATCATATCTACCTATAAAAAAAATCCAATTATCTTCCCAAACACAAAAATTTATAAGCCTAAATTGATCTGGATAATCCTAACCACTAAGGCTCTGTTTGGCAAGAGCTAAACGGGACTTTTTTGGCTATTTTAGTCATAAAAGACAAAATAGACTATTTTAGTCACAAAAAACAAAATATCACATCCAACCCACAATCATTACATTCTTCTCTTACAAAAAAAACAAAAAAAAACCAAAAAGCCAAAAAGCCAAAAAGCTCTTCCCAAACCAAACTTTTTAGCCCAGGCTAAAATAGTCAAAAAAACTAAAAAGCCAACCCAATTTTCAAACGGAGGCTAAATTTAACAAAAAAAAAAACCCACTGATTTAACCAATAAAAATCAGAGGCATCCTATTGACTTGGCCCAAGAATATCAAATAATTTTCCTAGATAGACATTAACGTTCTGTTTGGTTTAGATTAGGAGATTTAAGAAAGAATTTAAAAAAAAAAATAAGATGTGAAATATGAATAATCAAATTTTACACATTTTTTTTCTTTTCGTTCAAAATTTCTTCTTAAATTCTCCAACTAAATACAGAGTTGGGATCAAGATTCTGAAAAAAGATGAGATTTGACCTCATGGAAAAGCGTTGACCCACCCACCAGCATCTGCTGAGTGCTTAAAAAAAATAAATAAATAAACTTATTTTAACAAGCACATATATCATAATGTATGTATTTTTTTTTTTTTTTTTTTGTCATGTCAGATTTGAATGAGTTAGAAGAGAAAATACAAATGAAATATAAATTATTCTTTTTTCCTTAATTTCTCTTATTTTTTCTTTTTCTCTTTCTTTCTAAATTTTTAGTCAAATTCAAAATCTAAATATAGCCATTGTGCAAGGTCATATTCAATCCAGGACTTAAATTTACATAAATTTAAATTAGCCAAATTTAAATTTCCACCCAATTAAGAGAAAATCACATGATTACTCAAAATTTTGAATGGTGACTCTCAAATTTACAACTTTACCATAAGTGAAATTTAGATCAAGTTTGGCATATTGCAAAAAAGTCAAAAAGTCAAAAAATTACTCAAAAAGTTAACGCTATTCACTAAAAATCAACAATTACGGTTGCACAACTCCCAATCCTAATTTTTCCTTACAAATCAATTTTTACAATTTTTTATTATACATTTTTTCATAAAAAGTCAAAAAATTAACCCAAACATCCATATTTTCTTCCTCAATTTTTTAGTTCAAAAAGACAAAAAGTACACTTATTTAGGACACCCCAAACAATCCCTTACTCAAATTTAAGTGATTTATATAAAATTAAATTTTTTATTTTTTTTTAAATAAAATGTGAGAAAGAGCTAGAAATAACCTAACAAAGTTGATTATATGCGTTGTACACACATACATAGAAGTTTCTAATCTGCACTAAAAAGACAATTCGAACAACCCAACAAAAACAGTTCAAAATAGTCAAACGAGTGCCTGAGTTGACTCATTAGAAAAAAAAATCCAATTTCAAACACGAAACATGCATATACAGAGTGAGAGAGAGAGAGAGAACCAGCGAGGTTAGGGAGAGAACGCCAGCTTCCATGGCCGTTCTTCTTGATGTAGTCGATTAAGATCTCGTCTTCTTCAGGAGTCCATGGCCCTTTCTTCAACCCTTTCTTATCACAGCAGGGTTTTCTCCCCATTCCTCTCTCTCTCTCTCTCTTTAATGATGGAGAAAAATGAATGAAACCCAAGTGGGGGTAGAGGGGCTTTAAAGCTTTAAAGAGGACAATTGTAGAGAAAGAGGAAGTGCAGAGCTGAGAGAAGCGGAAAGACACTGAAAAGACCAGTCAATAGAATCATACACTAGCAGAGAAGGATTGCACATTCAATGTCGATTAATCCAAGAGAGAGAAATAGGGTTTGCATTTAATGTGTGATGTGATGATGATCATGGTGTCTGTGTATGTACAATCAAGATATATATATATGAAGTGTACAATATATTTTTCTACATATAAATATAGAGGTTGGAACCGAGGAAATTGAAACATTGATTGAAAAGAACAATGAAAGCTGAAATTAATATGCCTGGTTCTTTTTGAGGTTTGGAATTGAATTCACATGCACTATGTTTGGAACTTAAGAGAGAAAACAAAGTGAGAGCGTAAGAGAGAAAATTAGAGGAATTAAGAGAGAGAGAGATATATTTCCCCTATCGATTTAGGTGGAGATATCAATCATACTCGTCAAAATTTAATACTTTAAATGTTTGTTTCTCAACAAAGTCTTCATCAATATATTCGAAATATTATTATCTGTGTGAACCTTTTCAAGTTGCAACAATTTCGAATCTAACACATCACGAATCCAATGGTATCTCACATCAATGTGTTTCGCTCTTGAATGAAAAATAAAATTTTTACTCAAACGAATAGCACTTTGACTATCACAATAAAACACATACTTTTCTTGCTTCAAACCCAACTCTTGCAAAAATTTCTTCAGCCATAACTCTTCTTTACAAGCTTTCGTAATGGTAATAAATTCAATTTCGGTAGTTGAGAGATCAACACATTTTTGTAATTTAGATTGCCATACCACAGCTCCCCCTACAAAAGTCATCAAATACCCCGAAGTAGATTTCTTAGAATCAACATCACCGGCCATGTCAGAATCCGTGAACCCATCAAGCATCAACTTACCATCTCCAAAACACAAACACACCTTTGAAGTCCCTCGAAGATACCTTAGAATCCATTTTACTGCTGCCCAATGTTCTTTACCCCAGATTAGAGAGAAAATGACTCACCACACCAACGGCGTGAGCAATATCTGGCCTTATACAAACCATAGCGTACATTAAAGAACCAGCTGCTGAAGCATAAGGAATTTTCTGCATCTCATCCTTGTCTTTCTCACTTGTAGGACATTGATTCGAACTAAGCTTGAAGTGACCCGCAAGTGGACAACCAACCGGCTTTACTTTATCCATGTTGAACCTCTCAAGAACTTTCTCAATGTAGCTTTCATGAGACAACCAAATCAGCCCCTCTTTGCGATCACGAACAATTTTCATACCAACTATTTGCTTTGCCGATCCCAAATCTTTCCTAGCAAAAAACTTACTTAACTCCAATTTCAACCTGTTAATCATAGTAGAATCTTGACCCACAATTAACATGTCATCAACATAAAGCAAAAGAATAATAAATTTACCATTCGAGAAATTTTTCACAAAAACACAATGGTCCGAAGTGGTTTTAGAAAAACCATTATTCATCATAAAAAAGTCAAATTTTTTGTACCACTGCCGCAAGACTTGCTTGAGACCATACAAACTTTTCTTCAATTTGCAAACAAATTTTTCTTTCCCTCTTTCCACAAAACCTTCTGGTTGCTCCATGTAAATTTATTCTTCAAGATCACCATGAAGAAATGCAGCCTTCACATCAAGTTGTTCAATTTCAAGATTCATACTTGCAGCCATGCCAAGTACAACCCAAATAGAAGGCATCTTCACAACCGGTGAGAAAATCTCATCAAAGTCAATACCTTTTTTTTGCCCAAAGCCTTTCACAACAAGACGTGCTTTGTACCTCAGATTCTTACTATCATGCTTCAATTTGAAAACCCACTTAATTCTCAGAAATTTTCTCCCCTTAGGCAACTTTACTAAACCATAAGTGTGATTTTCAAGTAAGGAATTCATCTCCTCTTCCATGACCTTTTTCCAATTATCTTTCTTTGTGTGCTCAATTGCTTCTTGGTAGCTCTCGGGCTCCCCTTGATTGGAAATCAACACAAATTCATTGGGAGGATACTTTCTTGAAGGTTGTCGGTCTCTTGTAGATTTCCTCAACTCAACTTGTGGTGGCAGTTCTTGAGTTGGATGCTCTTCCTCAATTTCTGACTCAACTCCATTCGGATTAGTATCATCCTCCACATCTTCAATAGGTGGTTGCACATCTCCCACATTTTCATCATCAACTGAAAATGAAGGAGGTGAATCCATATCAATGAGATCACTAGTTTTTGGCTCTGATTGATCACCTTTGCCAGAGTCTTCAATTGTTTGGTCTTCAAGAAACACAACATCACAACTTCGAATGACTTTCTTATCGATCGGATCCCACAATCTATACCCGAATTCATCACGCTCATAGTCAAGAATCTTGGATAAACCTTCATTACCCATTCGAACAGAACCATAATCTCCTTTAGTGTAGGTAGTGAAGAAATCGACTCGAGAAGTCACATGAAAAGAAGCACCAGAATCAATCACCCAATTGCTCTCTTGGCCCACAAAATTGATACAATCATCTTCACAAACGACCATGAGATCATCGGTAGTAACTGCTGTTGTGTCTTCTTACTTCTTATCCACACTTTTGTCACGCCTTTTCTCCTTGTTCTTGAGCTTTTGGCATTCTCGCTTCATGTGCCCTTTCTCATGGCAATAATAGCATTCAATGTCTTTCTTTGAAAAAAAAAACCATCTTTTGATTTGTCACGGCTTTGATCACGACCATGAGGAGTCTTACTCCTCCCCCTTGTTTTGCTTCAGCCTCTTAAACGAATGTTTTCGAATGAGAGGAACCCGTTGATTTTATTCTAGTTTCTTCATTCAACAAGCTACTAGTGACTTGGTCCATTGTGACAACTCCATCGGGCGCCGAATTACCAACTGTCACAACCAAAGTCTCCCAACTTTCGGGCAAAGAACTAAGTAGCATCAAAGCCTGTAACTCATCATCAAAAATAATTTTCATAGAAGCAAGTTGGTTAACAATACTGTTTATTTCATTCAGATGTTTCGGTATAGGGCTGCCATCTTTATATTTTAAATTAACCAACTTACGAAACAGAAAAGCTTTATTTGTGGCTGATTTCCTATCATAAAGGCCTTCTAATTTTTTTCATAAATCATGTGCCGAAATTTTAGTAGCAACATGATGAAACACACTGTCATCAATCCATTGACGAATAACACCAACGGCTTTTCGATTGAGCCTATTCCATTCATCATCTTTCATACCCTCGGGTTTGCCACTATCACCTACAATGGATCCATACAAATCTTTACAAAATAAAAGGTCCTCAATTTTAGTTTTCAAAGTTACCCAATTGCTTCTATTGAAGCTAGGCATACGACCCACATTCCCCTCTATTGATTTACACAAATAAATATACCCAAATAAACCGTAAGCTCTAATACTAGTTGTTAGGGAAAATATGTGATTCTCCACAAGTAAATCAATCAATGATAATAAAAACTAATGTGAAAAAATTAAATCAAAGGCAACACAAGAATTTTTACATTGTTCCCTCAATGTGAGGTAAATCCACAGGATCGAAATCCGATTTCACTATCAACCAAAAGTTTTCAAACGATTACAAACGAGACATAAATGGTCTCACAAAAGCACTCTTAGGTGAATTCTAAATAATCACAAATAAACAAGAGGAAAAATCTCACCAAATAGATGAACCAAAATCTTCAGAACCAGAGTTGTAGAAGACCCAAAAATAATAGACCCAAACTAACTTCACCAAAGCAGTCGGATAAGCACCAACTTGATTACACACAAAAATAGTGCACTTGAATATGCAATCAAAAATCAATCAACCACCATGCTTGTAATTCAACCACAAAACCCATTGAAGATGTATCACGGCTGCTACACAAACAAAAAAGCTGTTTGTTCTTTTTTTTTTCTTGAAAAAAACACAAAACAATCCCAATATATAAAACAAATATTGGATTTGTTTTATTAAAATCTTAGTTGTTACCAAACTAAATTAGGTTTCTAAAAATTAGATATAGGGTGTGTTTGGTTTTTGTTTGTAGAGTAGTTTTTTAGATAAAAAGTACGAAAACTTGTTTGATTTGCCTTTTTTCAGAAATGGTTTTGAAAAATTGTTTTGGGGAGTTTTAAAAAAAGTGATTGAAATGACGTGTATGAGAAAGAGAGTGATTTTAGAAAGTAGGTAACCAAACAAAATTTTGAGATTTTTTTTTAAAAAAATTATTTGATTTGATTACTCTTGAAAATTTATTTGTAAAGAATTTTTCTTAAATTTTTTTTTTAAAAAACAAACCAAACAAACCATAATGTATTAAAATATATTATACCTAAACCAATTCATATTAAAATCCTTTTAACAAATTAATTAAGGTCAAGTTTGGCATGATTGAAAAAAGACAAAAAGTCAAAAAGTCACTATCCTATTTAAGTCACATCATCTTATTTAAGTCACATCACCTCTCTAACACATCACTTCAAACTCAACCCAAACCCAACCCATATTTCATAAAAAGTCAAAAAATACACTTATTTAGTCTACCCAAACTAGGCCTAAATCTTAAATTTTAATAAAGAGATATATCCATTAGAGAGAGATGAGAAATTACCGAAGATTTTGTTTGTTTGTTGGATTGTTTTCACTTTCTCACATGTGAGAGAGACAGAGAGAGAGAGAGAAAACTGGTACTGGTATTAGACGAATTGAATGAGGTGTACGTGAACAAGATTGAATGAGGAGAGAGAGATGCAGCGAAGGAGAGGTCTTACATAAAAGGAGATGCAGTAGAGATTGAGAAGATGAAAGTGAAGAGCATTAAAGGCTGATTCAAATGGAAAGGGCACGCTGTCATGTCCATATTTATCCCTGGCTGACTTAAAGAGTTGGTTAAAAGTTAATGAGATATATTCCGTATGTTTAATTTGAATTTTTTAGATTAAATTTTTTAAAAATTGAGTTTTTTTTATTTTTATATTTTTTGTTTTTTAATGAATATTTTTAAAATTTTAAATATTTTTTTTACATTTTAGATGTACCTTACTTAGATGTATCTAAAAAGTAAAAAATTTATAAAAAAAAATATTTTAAA